GAATGAATGTGCATTGATTTGCACTTTCTAGGAAAAGAGTAAAGAAAATGTTTTTCCTGTTAGTCTGCTTTGAAAGAGCTCCCAATAGAAAAGAAAGGGATATAAGGCCAGTAGAGGGGGTAGAATGATTTTCTCCTCTGCCTTAGATACCAAACTGGTTTTGTATGTCTGCTCAATGAATTACAAGTTAAAATAAAAGAAATTGGTTTCATAAAGACCTTTCCAGAATACTTGGCCCAGTTAGTGCCATTTAGGAGTCCAAGCAAGCAGCAGTGTATGGCACAGGGATGGGGTGGGAGCCCTAGGGCCCACACAGTGTCTGACAAGCAGTGGGCACTCAGTCAGCAGCTGATGAACAAACAAAGCACCAGAACGTTTGGATTATTGACTTTGGGAGCAGCAGGAACTCATGCTGTTGGCATGGATGTTGCTGGTCATGGCAGCCACCATTAACATCAGCAAAAAAAGAAGTTTTTAAGTGGCTTTATGGGAAGAAGACAGGAGGGATATGAGAAACAAAAAAAAGTTGAAGAAGAAGAGCCATGTCACACAGGGACCAGAGGTGCCAACTTGTTCATAGCATGTATGAGATACACAGGATCTCAGGGAATATGTGGTGATAGGTGGGAAGGAGATTAGTGGAGGGGGAGTTGGTTTGCATGTACCAGCAGATGTGGACAGGAGCAGGAAATTTATTTCATGAATATTAAACTTATTTCCCTTGTATCCACCTTTTGGTGGAGCCTGCAGACGTTTGGGTTGTATAAGGTACAACATAAGAATAAATCTAAAGGTTTCTGTGCTATAGAAGCCAAGAACAAAGGTAGATTAACCCAGACAGAAAGAAACATACATCTGGTTATAGTACAGCTATGTTTTATAACATTGTATAGGTTGGGATGTGGAAAAGTAAATGCCAAAGGGAATGGGCCAGTGTTCATGTATTGACTTCTGGTATCAATAGCTCATCTCTTTTAACAGTGAGTACCATGTGTTTGGAAAAATGCTCACTCTGGGGTGGCATGGGAGAGACTGTCTTTACTGTGCTGCATAGCTTCTCTAGTGATGCAAGGTTCTGATTTACTGTCTAGCCTTAAACACTTTTCAGTACACCCTATGAAGTTCTAGGCCAGTTTAATTTGAAACAGAGCCCAGAAAAGTTCTTGCACAATGTACATTTAAGAGGGTTTCTTTGGGCAAAAGTAGTTACATGGTGAATTCCATTCTCAGAGACATCCTTTTCTTCAAAGGTTATGTGGTGGTGACTCCACTTGGCAGGTATACACTATGGAACAAAACCTGAAGCAATACAAAAGCTCAGACAAAGAAGTCAAATCACTTTCTTAGGGAGTGATAGGTACAAATATCTTTAGGGTGTCACGTAGAAATTACACTCTTGAAAGTGAGAAGTATCTAAACCAAAGTTCTTGTGGCCATGTAATCTTATTTCTATTTGTACTATCATATTAAAAATTATATAGTAAAGTGTATTGAAATAGCAGTAAAACCATGTGACATACAATTGGTGCTCTAAATACTTTAATATATGGATATAGGGATGAGAACCTTATTTGGCTTGTTTCTCTTTTCACAGATCTGTCAGCATCCTTTGCCATTTTACATTCTTCACTTCATTTTCCTCGTCATACTTTTCCTGGTCCATCTGAGTTACGTGACATGTGGTTCTTTGTCTCATGGAGACACATAACTGAAAAGCCTCTGTAAATGCTTTCCGTGTTAGGGCACCCAAGTTGTGTCTTCAGCTCTTGCTGACAGCATATCTTGTTCCCTCAGAGATCTCTCTTCTCCCTGCTACTTTTGTTTCTGCACCAACCTACTTTTTTGATATCCACAGCTTTCGAAACTGCATTTATTTTTCCATTTTGGTTGCGAAAGTTTCCAGCCTGACAAAGATAACTTCATTTTTAGAATCCACAGGACTTGGTGTGGTTTATTCATAATTGTGACCTAAATGGCAGACAGTCCTTTATTGATTTTTATGCTCAGCCAGTGTTTGAATGGCTGTCTTGTAAAAGGATTAACTGGAGAAAAAACTGGGATACACCTTAATGTAGCACATCTGTGTCTTTGTAATACATGTATTTTATCCTAGGCTATACTTTCTTTTGCTTATCCTCTTGGTTGAGGGTGAAGGAATGATATCCTGGATTAAAATGTCAGTTTTAGAAATTCTTTTCTGACTGGCATTAAGCAAGCAAAGAAAATAGGATCTTAAAAGATTGCTCATGAGTAATATATACAGTATTTATGTGGCCAGTAATACAGTGATGGCTCTTCAGTAATCAACCAGCAGCATATTAGTGGATTATAATGATGAATTGTTTAGAAGGAGACTTCCTGGATCTTAATGGTTTTTACTTTATTTTTATTAAGGTATAACTGAATACAGTATCTTATTAGTCCCCTTTGTGCCTCAAATTGTTTCTACAAATAATTTTTCAAGTACATGGAAAGGAACATTGGTAGAAAAATTATCATAAGCAAGAGCCAATCAAAAATAATAAGAAACAGGAACAGACTCTCAGAGACTCTAGATATTTGAATTATCGGACACAGATTATAAAATTATTTCTTTGGTATATTCAAGGAGATAAAGGATGACTGTAAAATCAGGGGAAACAGAAACTATAAATTTCAGTAAAACACAAATAGAAGTTCTAGAATTAAAATAATGAAAATTTAAAACTTAGTGGACAGATTAAGAAACAAAACAGTGGAAAAGAAGATATGTTAGAAGCATGGAGTAACCAAGAAAATGGAAAATGTAAAACAGAAAGTAAGAGACAAAAGACACATGAGAAGATGTAACATATTTTTAACTGGAAGAGAGAAGATACAAACACGACAGAGGCAATTTAGAGGTAGTGACTTAGGACTGTCCTGAACTGATGAAAGACATCAATTTACAATAAACAGCTTAATGAATCCCAAGCAGGATAAATAAAAGAAACTCAGATCTGGATAGTGAAATTGCAGAAAACCAAAGCTAAAAAGTAGCTAGAGAAAGACAGACATTCCCTTCAGAGGAGCAACATTAGACTAACGTTGGTATTTCAACAGCAAATGCAGAAACTGGAAGAATGTAAAATAACTGCTGAAGGAAAATAATTATCGACTTAGAACTTCTATTTCTTGAAAATATCCTACAGAAAAAAGTGAAGTAAAGATATTTTCAGACAAACATTTTCATGGCCCTATTTGGTCATAAATTCATTTTTTAATATACAGTTGACCCTTGAACAACATAGGTTTGAACTGTATGGGTCCATTTACATGCAGATTTTTTTCAATAAATATATTTAAAAATTTTTTGGAGATTTGGGATAATTTGAAAAAACATGTTCTTTTCTCTAACTCACTTTATTTTAAGAAATCAGTATATGGTACATACACAAAATATGTGTTAATCAACTCTATGTTATTGATAAGGCTTCTGGTCAACCGTAAGCTTTAGTAGTTAAGTGTTGGGAAGTTATACACAGATTTCTGACTGTGGGAGGGTCAGTGCCCCTAATCCTGCATTGTTCAAGAGTCAACTGTACTTAAAAAAAAAAAAAGGAAGAAATCAGTGTCTAATAGGCAGGGGAGGTGGGCCTCCAGGTATTTTTCTTTATCTAAGTGAGTCATGATCAAAAGTTCTTGGGACCCCCCAATTATCTGACACTATGAGAACTTGTCTTGTTTCCCTACCTTGGTGATAACTTTGTGGTCTGCTAGCTGCCGAGAAAGAAGTCCGGGAATCATCCAGACACCTGTCTCTCTGATTCCCCGGTCTTCCTCATACTTCCTAGTGTGCACACTGCTTTTCTGTTCTGAAAGAGTTGACTTCTTGGCTTTTTCATCTTTGCGTGCAGCACTTCCCATCCCAGACCCCATGTGGCCATACTAGCTCCTACTCACTTCAGAAGTCATCCCCACTAGGAAGCTGTCCCTAATAGCCTGCACCTTTACCACCCCAGGCTGGCTGATTCCACAGCCCACCCTCAGCCTCTAGTTTTCAGTTTACTGACTCAAAAAAGCTGCACATTCATTTTAGGATTTGGATACATTCTGCCACAAGGTCCTTGGGAAAAGTAAAACAAACATTCACTTCTTCCAAGTGTCTGTAAGAAGGCCCAATTTCCCAAACCATTAGCAACACTGACTATTATTATTAAAAACAATAATTAAACTTAGCAATTAGAAGAGAGTAATTACTGTTTTGTTTTCATTGTGTTTTAATCTCTAGATCTTAGATAACTAATGATACTGAACCTATTTTTTTCTCTCAGATTTTTTTGAGAACTTTTTCTGGAATATTCAGCTTTTTCTTACAGATTTGTGTAAAGCTTCTCATAGAGTAAGGTCATTATAGTGATGTTTATCTTACAGATTTCAAATACTTCCTACTAGTTTGTCACATTACTAATCCCTATCTGTGAGGTGGCATCTTGCTCATCAAGTTTTAATTTGCTTTGCTTGTTTATTGTCTGTCTTCCTCCACCAGAATGTAAGTTCCACGATATTGAGAACCTTCATTTATCTTGTTACATCCTAGCACCTACCACAAGGCATGGCACATAGTAGGTCATCAATAAATACTTATTAAATGAATAAAATACATGAATATCCATTACAGACCAGGTCCCGTAGTGATGCTGAGGATGCAGAGGTAAAAGAAACAGTCCCTGACTTCACAGTGCAGTCTTGGGACTGACTCTAAGCATGTTCTCAGAATCATGACATTACAGGCCTCCAGAACTGGTGGGATCCCCGAAAGGGATTAAGACAGAGAGAAGCATCTTCAGTGATGCCCCATGATTCCTGCTCCCTGCTATTCAGGCTATTGTGGAATTCCCTGCCCTTGACTATAAGCTAGACCCAGTGACTGGCTTCTAACAGTGGAACTGAACAAAAATGATGGGATATGCCACTTTCCAAGACTGTTACGGAGAGACTGTGACTTCTAGCTTGTTCATTCTCTCTCTCTTCTTTCTCAGAGCCTCTGCTCTGAGGGCAGGCGAGCTGCCATGCTGTGAGCTGCACTATGGAGAAGGCCACCAGGCAAGCGCCTGAGGGATCAAAGCTAGGGAAGAACTGAAACCTGCAGCCCAAAAGGCCACAAGGAGCTGAATCATGCCACCCACCAGTTTGGAAGCAGATCATCCTGCAGTCAAGCCTTCAAGGAGCCCACGTGCTGGCCAGTGACCTAACTGTAATCCTCCTAAAGATGTTGAGCCAGAGGCACCTAGCTGGGCCTCACCCTGATGCTTGAGCCACTAAAACTGTGTTTGTTGTTTTAAGCCATTAAGTTTGGGGTTAATTTTGTTAATCAGCAATAGCTGACCAATACAGAGACCTAGAGAGTTTAGGCATAATTGCCCCAAATTCATCCCTACAGTGCTTCCCCATCAGTTACCTCCCTGTGAAGGGAACGGAAAAAGAAGCGAAGTGGTGAAAGTAGGAAAGACATTTAGGAACAGATGCTTTCTTACCTCTTCCCCTTTTTCAAGCACATCAAAGAGAAGGCATTAGTCCCACTGAAGATGCCATCTTGCTACAACCTCAAGATAGAGAAACATCTGCAATAATTTTAGGTATTTGCAGCAATGACTCAAGAAGGAAGCAGACATTTTTTCCCCACTACTACCCCTATCCATCTCCATCTTGCACCTCTGGCATTTTCCCTAAGGTTGTCATCCTTGCAGAAACAGCTGCAGAAGCAGAAATGGAGGGCACAGGAGGCATCCAGGAGTAGTGAAGTGAGAACAAAAGGATGGTAGAGCAGAAGTGCTGTGTTTTATTTCTTTTTCTGCCTCAGTGTAGTTCTTAGCACAACATAAGTTCTTACCACACTGCCAACTAGCTAGGCATCTCATAAATTATGAGCTAATTATTTGGGCTCACAGAAGGACTTGTTCAGATCTACTTTTACAATTACCAGGGAAACAAAATGAGAATTACATCTCTGTAAGTTCTAGCTCTCAATTTTATGGAAACACGTATTGTTAGAAGGGGCCTCATCAGTGATACAATGAAAAATGTACAAGCGAGAGAGAATATCTCATTAGGACAAAGTGAAAAGATGCTACAGAGGCATTCAGCAAATTCTCAGTTGCTTCACAGGTTATGATGAACACCTTAGAGTTACTCTGATGAATGACAAAAGATCTGAACTATCACAACCTTCTGTCAGACCAGAATGGACTTTCTTCCATGTATGAATATTTTTTAGTGACAGCAATGTAAACTTAAACAAAAACAAAAACAAAGCCTTGATTTTATTTATTTATTTTTTGGGTTACCTTCCAGGCAGCAGAGGCTATATGACAAAGTACTGACCAGTGAAGTGAAAGAAGAAGTCTATGGTAGGGCTTTTAAGAAAATACAGACTTCCTGATTTTAAAAAAGGAATAAACTTAACTGGCATATGCCTTTGCTCTTTCTTTCTTTCTTTTTTGCTTGACTGGAATGCAGTTACAATGTCTGACGATGCAGCAGCCATCTTGTGACCATTGGAAAATCTATTTGCCAGGTACTGGAAGTGGACAAGAGAAGAAACCATATTCTCTGAAGGAATCCTTATGCCACTACCCTGCCACTGGGCTGCTACCTCCAGACCTGTTATCTAAACAAAATAATCATTTTACTTAACTAATCCAGGAAAACAGAAACTCAGAAAAAAAAAGGAGGAATTTTATCCCCATGATCAGAGTTTCTCTAAATGGTTTATGAATAATTTTCCAGTGGCTAAAACACTAGCTTTAAAATACATCTATTTTACCAACTAACTCATCCAATTCAGGATATATGGTGTCCTTTTACAGGATTAGTTGACTATTCCATTCACTATATTTCTAAGGGAAAAAAATGGGCAAAGTATCATTGAAAGAGATGTTGACCAAGGGCTGCTTGAACATCCTTTTGACCAAGGGACCCTGTCACAGAGCTCTTGGCCTGTATTTTGGCTGTGGCACCCCTAGAAACTGAAATCTTGATATATTATAGCCTGAAGAGATTTCAGTGTTTCTCAAAGCTTTTTCTGTAATTTACTTGAGAAATTCTTTTAAATAAAATGCTGAAGTTGGGAAATACCTCCTGGACTATTCTTTAAGTATTCATGTTAAATGTTACCTTATTAAAGGCACTGAGATGTCTCATAGTAAAATCATGTGTTAATATTTTTAGCCCAGCATAGGTCATAGAGCCCTTTTCTTGTATAACGCTTTCTTCCATGTACCATCTTGAAGTTCTGGCTTAGAAAACCATAAAAATCTAGAATGACACCATTTTCACAATTCAAATTTTCCTCATTTTTCTTTTTTTTCAGATTTTTTACTCTTAAGTTGTTTTGCTCACTATTAGGCAAACTTACAGACAACATTAGACAGAGCAACACTAAACTCCTTTGCAAATTCAGTCACATCAAATAATTTTCTCTTCCTTAATGGAAATTGTTCACAGGTAATCACTAAGACTCATTGTATGGTAGAAGATCCTGTGACTCTCTTCTGAATGGAGGGTTTTTTTCCTGTTTAATGATATCTCTTTGAGTGCTATCTTCCGATTAGCTGGACCAACACTGCTGTGCTCTGTCTCTGTCCCAAAAGGAATGCACTGAGGTAATGAATCATCTCGCCATATCTGCAGATGCATTTTTGACTTTCATTTCCAGAGTTGATGAAGGCTATAGTTAATACATGTGAGCTTTTTATTAGCCTGGTCTATGGGACTTTGGAAAATGTTTGGAGCCATGGACCTCCAAGCTGAAGGGGAGAAATCAGCGTATTCTCAACAGCCTACAGAGACAGTTGTTAACATGGCAGGTCAGTTAGTGACCTCTTTTTCTTAAAGCTTTTCAGAATGCCTAAGTGCCATGGAGTAGGCAGAGTATGTAGTAGAGCTTTTTTAACTAAATTTGGGTTGGTCTTTCACTTAAATCATATTTTGGGGTAGAGTGCTTTTATTTTTTTATTTGACAGACATTGATTGAGCACTCACCTTTGCAAAGCACCATGTCAAAAATTCTGATGGTATGAGAGATTGTTTTTCAGCTCGACCACAAAATAAACTTCTATCCCTCATGTCTTTCTTAAAATATGACTTTAACTTTTCTGTTGGGAACTGTGGTCTCCATGAAATGGGTGGGCTTTTGTGACTCTTGTGACCAACAGAGAATGGCAGAAGTGACACAGAGGCAGCTTCCCCCTTACTCACTGGAATCCTCTCTGTTGAAATTTTCAGCTGCCATTTAAGCTTTTTACTGCCCTGAGACTGACATGCTGGGAGGAAGTGTGGACTAACTCATGGAAAGACCACAAGGAGAAACCCCAAGACCACAAGGAGTTTGACAGATGCCCAGCCAGCTCCCAGTTGCTCAGTCCCCACTCCCAGCGACCCAGCTCCAGCCCGCATCCGACTGCAACTCTGTGCTGCACCCTAAGCCAGAGCTGCCCCAAGCCCTCCCCAGATTCTTGACTCACACAGACTATGAAGTGTAATGAAATGACTATCATCTTAAGCCACTAAGTATGGGAGTAAAATCGCAATATGGCAATAGATACTGGAACAGACGGGTACAAAGGTGGTAGTACATCGTCTTTGGGCTAAAAGGAGCTTGGAATACTGATGGAAAGACCAAATATGCATATAAGGAGAACAAAAGTGTGGATGAAGGAAAGAGACAGACCAAAAGGGCTAGCAATGGGCTAAACATGGGAATAGATTGACTCAGGTTTTCAAACTGGTATGGAGAAGCCACTTTCAAATATCAGACCTGTTGCATGTTGTTGAAAGTCCTGACAGAACTTGAAGACCAAAGATTGTCAAGGAATGGGGCAACTTGTAAATCCAGCTTCTGGTTTATAGTTGGTTGTAAAAATTCCTCTAAGTTTTAAGTAATGTGAAATTAAATTAGCATTTCTATGGAAAAATAATAAGCCTTTTCATGCATTATCCTATTTGATCATCATAAAACCCCAATAGATTGTCAGTTGGTCCAACTTCCCAATTCTACTAGATAATTTTCTTGAAAAAATTAAGAAATGTCTGGCTCAAGTTAATCAGTTAAACATATGCGTGCCTACTCTGGGCAGAGAAGAAATATAGACATATGACAGAGGAAAAAACATAGAACCTAATTCATACCATGAAGTAGTGTAAAACCTCATTGGGCATTTGTGACAGAATCACACACACAAATACACAAAATAGTTCACAACAATGGGTACAAAGTAAAAGAGTTTAACACATTTGTCTGTCTGAAAGTAGTTTTTTGCTTCAGGCTACCATTGCCCTAAATGCTTTTTATGATTCTGCCCCACACCTGATAATGAAAATCCAAGATTAAAGAGGTTGGGCTTCCTATTCTGTTTACCCTGGCCTTTGCCCTAAAGATGGTAATGAAACACAAACATTACCTGAACCACATATTTTTCCTAGAAAGTCTTCACATCTCTAGAGTAGCATTACTCAAAATGTACTTTATAGAACATTGTTCCCATAAGATGTCTTGCAGAAAAAAAAAAAAGAATTTTTGGGTGAAATAAATTCTTCATACTGTATCCTTCAATGCACATTAATATATTAAAGGTTCTGAAAAGTCCTACAGTTAAGAAACCTACATAGTTTAATCAAGAGTTTCCCAAACTTTTTACGTAAGAACTCTCCTCCCTTCTTACCCCTTCTTTCCTCCTTTCTTCCTCCTTCCTTTTTCTTTTTCTTTGATCATTGTTTCATGCAATACTGAAGACATTGTAGGCCCTGATGATACCTTAGGGACAAAGAGTAATAAAGTAGAGTGAGTTTTACCTCCTCTTTTGATTTTTCTTAACTATATGGTCTTTGGTGACTTAACTAGCTTTTCTGAGTTATTCATCTGTAAAAGAGGAATATCTATAATAAATTCTACCTTATAGAATTGTTGTCAGGTGATAGATAAATAACGGCTTTTGTTTCCCTCTCTTTAGAGAACTTTTTCCTGCCCAGGCAGAAGGAGAACTTGGACCAATCACAAACTGTGTTCCTACAGAGGGATTCTAGGTGTAAAAGTAAGCTAGAAGTAAAACTTGGTGACCATTTTCTCCTTGCTACAGCCCTCTGGCTGGGACCCTGGCAGTTATAGACTAGGTCAGAAAGACAGACGCTTGTGGTATTTCAGCCCTTAGCATCTCTATCCACACTGCCTGGGTTCCAAGTCCATTTCCATCATTTATTATCTGCATGGTTGGGCAGTTAATTCTCTTTGCCCTAGCTTATCCACTGTGGAGTGGGGACAGTAGGAGCAACTACAGCCCAGGATTGCTATGAATATTAAATAATTAATACCTTAAACACTGCCTAGCATATGACATGATGTTAGTTATTATTACAGCTTTATAAGCATGGAAGTAGATATAAAATTGAATAGCTGGCCCCACTTTAGATCTAAAGCAGGTACAAAACCTGCATAGTTTAGATTAATAGTTGAGGCAAAATTATTTTGGTTCTCTACTGTGCTTTTTTGGGGAATTATGACAGTTTCCACTTTGCTAGCTTGAACCTGGACTCAGAAATGATACTGCCATGATGACCTTTTTCTTGAATCACTGAAACTTCTTTGTCATGCTCTTTCAGGCTTTCAATCCTAGGGAGGTCCAAATAAATCAGATACATTTTTCTCTATTACATCGACAGAGTCTGTTAACCCTAATAGAACAAGGTGATATCTTTTTAATGCATAATGATTAGGTTTAATAAGAGGAGATGTGGCTGAGAATGGTTATCACATGGATATATAGGCATACAAAGCTGGCAGGGTACAGAATGGGCACCAAGAAATTTCATAAGGTTGAAACCAGGGCAAAGCTCAGCATGAGGGGTGAGCTGGAAGAATGCTGTTAGCAGAGTGGTTATTAATATCTGCTAAAGAACCTGACCTTTGTTGCTGTAAACAAGACCAGATAATTACATGTTCATTCTAAGAGCAACTTTGAGATGAAAATGGAGGCATTTGTCAAAGGAAGAGGAAAGCAGTTTATACTAAAATGGAACCTGGAGCTTTTGTCTTCACATCTGACAGCGTTGGCCCTCGTCGTGGCAGATTTGTTACTTCGGGTAATGATATAGTTGGTGTTCCCGTCCGTGTGGGCTCTTACTCTCTCTTTTTCTAGAGTGGAAAGGAATGTGGTATGTACAAATAGCCTTTGGGAAGGACGTATTTTTCCCCCTTTTTTTTGGATGTGTTCGCTGTTCTTTTTGCCTGAATTATTTATCCCAGATGAAAGGAACTTTGGGGTCATAGAGTCATGGGCAAATAAGGTGACCACCCTGCAGCACCGGAGCCATTTTTTCCACCACTGACTCATAAGCAGGTGAACAAACAAACCTTCAAGGAACCAGCAAGGCAGTTTGTTATAGTTACAGTCTCCCTGGGTACACTGGTACTCCTGAAGGTAGCATATTTTTTCAGGGCAGCAGTTCATCAGAATTACCAAAGTTTAAAGGAATTCTTTCAATCCCAAATTTGATTTATCCCCCCACACCGATCCTTTCAGTTGTACATAACAAAGACAGAGAGACTGATGGAAAATGGGATGTAAATAAATAAAATGTGCAAAGGATTACTCATTTCCAAGTCAAATTTCATTTTCATTCTTCAGGTTTATATTCATCCTGTCTCTTCACCTTTCATTCCATTCTCATCCTTTTAGGTTAAATGGAAGCACCAAGTCATTGACAGGACTGTGACTTCCACCCAGTTCAAATGGTGAGCAGGGGGTTATCTCTGCTAATAGCGTTGACATCATTATAGATACACATGTTAACGGGCTTGGGCTGCGATGCCATACTGTTAGAGCCCAAGCCCATTGTTTTCCGTGCCTGCTAGCTGCCAGGCAGTACACATTTTGAGCTGCACAGATGATATTGAGGATGATCGGAGGAGATTTCTCTGTAATTGAGATCAAATAAAAAATTTAAATAGCATTCTGTGTTCTAAATAATGCATCAAGGCCCTGAAGTAGACATGCCTTTAAGTCATGCACATGCATTGTCAAATGAACTATACTGACAATAATTGCTATTAAAGTAGGTGAAAGTCTGAATTTTCCAGATGCTTTAAGAAGTGACATTTGAGCTGGGTTTAATAGGGAGGTAAGTGGCAGCTTTTAGGACAGGCAGAACTGGACAACGGGCAGTGGGCAAACACTTGGTGTTTCATAAAGAAACTGAAATTGTTCCATTGGAGCAGAGATTTAATAAAAAGATGGTTGGAAATAAGATAGGAAAGTGGGCTGAGGTCAGATCCTGAAGGACTTTACATTTCCAATAAAAGCATTTGGATGCCTAATTTCTGGGTAATGGGGAGCCATTGAAAACTTGTTAACACTCAACAATGAGGCAAGATAGTTTGCAATCAAATCTACTGTAAGAATGAAACAGAAGGGTTGCAGTTATTCAGTTAATAAGGAATGGGAATTTGATTGCTCCCAGGCATGATGCTCAAAGCAAATTTTCCAGGCTTCCTCTCAGCCTGACAGGCACAGGGAAGGAGCAGCTGTGATGAAGCACACAGTCTGGACTCGGGTGCGCACAAACCTGCCTCTGGTTACTTCTCAGCACTTTCTTGCTGTTTGACTTTGGGCATTTCCTTAATGTCTCTGAGCCTCTGTTTTCTCATCTGTAAAATGCAGATACAATATCTACCTCACAGAGTTATTTAGCAGTAAGTAGAAATGCTGTCAGAGTTTCTGGATGGTAGCTCAGTGAATAGTAGCTGTTTTTATTTTATTGGAATTATTACCATCATCAGGCATCTCGTATACAAACTAAAAATTGTGGCTGGATCAGTTCTGATTTACAAACCATGCATTTTGCCCAAAAAATGCCCGTTAAAAATGTCTGATTGGCAGTGAACAACAAAGTCATCTTTGTATCTGAATGTCAGCACCTTCTCAGTAGAGAGCTGAGCCCTGTTTGGAAGTGTTATACCTCCCCAGGGGGAAGTTGTAGCTGGGAACCCAAGGATTTCACTGGTGTACTGGCACTAGGAGGATGCTTCTGTCTCAGTCACTGGGACTCCTGGGGAGGACAGCGGGGCATGAGGGCACTCCCATAGCCGAACTCGGCCTCATCCTTACCTCTGTGGAGGCAGCATGGAATGGTGGGAGGCAGCTGAGGGATGCGTCATACAGACCTGGTCTCAAATTCTGACTCTGCAGCTTTTGAGCTGGGTGTTCTGGTACAATGTGCTAAGATTCTCTGAGCCTCATGAATTCCATCTTTAAAATAAGGATAATCATCCTTTGCAGGGTCATTATGGAGTTAAATGATCTCAAATGTATGAAGACTTTAATTTCAAGTAAGCCCTCTATACATGGGAGCAATCATTAATCTCTTTTTTATCTCCTACTTCTTTCTTCCTTTCATCTTTTGTTTACCTCCTAAATCTTTCTTTCAGGAAAGGCCATGAGAGCTGGTGATGAAGGGAGAAATTCTTGCTCTGTTCTTACCCCCCTGGTGGCCTTCGTTGTGATCTGCTGACTGAACCAGTTTCTCCCCTTCTATAAAGAGGCACAGATCATGATCATAATATAAGTTGGTCACAGGGATGAAAGTACAGCATAGAGAATAGAGTCAGTAATTCTGTAACATCTTTCTGAGTTGACAGATAGTAGCTATATTAGTTGGGTGAACATGTAATAACTGTCGAATCACTGTGTTTTTTACTTGAAGCCAAACGTTATGTTGATAACATTGTCTATCAACTATACTTCAATAAACATAAATAAATAAATAATAAAACAGTTTATCATCTTCTCTCAAAAGGGGGACAGTCAAACCAGGCACTGCGCTGATCACTCTGGATGAAATCTTCGGATGAGAACCCAGGTGACACAGGACTAAGCGGAGTGATGCCTGACAGTGAGGTGAGTCTCCTTCCAAACCTAGAGAAAGGTAAGGAGAAGTGAGTGGGAGTTAGAGGATAAGAGAAGAAAAACTCTCAGAAATGAGAGGAGAAAGTAAAAGAGAACAAATGTTGGTGCAATGTTTTTAACAAGTGTTCATTTACTACCTAGAGAATGGGATTTTTTTTTCTTAAGCCAATCACTCTTATAAAGTCACTACATTATGAGTTAAAGACCAGCCATATTCCTTATTCAGATACCACCAGGAAAGGAGAAAGTTGACAGCAATCTATTCTGGAGCCTTGTGAGAAAAACCCATGTTACCCAGAGTCAGCTGCTGAAAAAAAAAAAGCGGAACCTTTCCCCCGCTGTTGTTATTCAAATACAACCCAGTTTTCTGAACTGAGGATGAAGTTAACAAGCAGGCAGTGAGCACAGATGAATGCCTTAATTGGTTATTAATATATGGTCGCTGCTATTCTTAGAGGTTACTGATGTTTGGATAACTACCTCAAAAATAGAATCTGGGTTTCATGGCTGTGTTCTCTCACACATAAAACCAGAGACAGTTGATAGGGCATGAGTTGAACTGAGATGCCATTTCTGGAAAACCTGTTACATTTGTTATTGCTTTAAAAAGTCATGCTGTAAAGTTTCCTGGTAACCCAATTCATTTTGAATATTATTAATTCATCCATCAGGAAACTGTCTTGACTGTAATTTAGTGTCAAAATTGAGCACCTCTTCAGTCCTGTGGTCCACAAAATAATGGCGGTGGACATTTAGTTTCATTTGGTTAGAAAATGAATCTGATTCTGTGTTTATCAAATTTAGGTGGACTTTAGGTACCCAAGTGTAGCAAGTATATAGTTTAAAGAATTGAAATAAGTATTCCTTTCTTAATTCTGTATAACATTTGTTAATTGATAAACTCTGATAAAATCTCACACATGCATGTTCACTAGCCACATAATTAATAGCAGTATTTATTATTGATGAACAAAGACTATTTAGGAGCTATTCAGTTCCATTTATGGAAGAATAAAATAGTCACCAGGCATGAGATTGATAAATGACAAGTTGTAAGTGTTATATTTACAACCTAAGAACCAAGAAACTCTTCATCACTGAACAGTCTCCCCCTCCAAACTAGGAGCAACCTGCTCAGGTTTGCTGAGTGCCCGAATGGAAAAAATACTAAGCTGTGGAAACCCTTTGTCCCTGTAGAATCTCCCTCAAGGCACCTGATTCGGCTTCCTCCCTTATGTAGATGCTTTGGGATGTCACAGAGGCAACCAATACCAAAGACCATGGGAGAGGCAGCCAATACCAAAGACCATGGGAGATTTGAGAATTAAAAGCAAACACCTTGGTTCGAATCCAGCCACCATCTCCCAGACATGGCTGGGTCTGAAATAGCAGCTGAAAGAGCTTCCTCCTCAGTTTGGCCCAACCCTGCTGAGATGAAGGACTCCTCTGTTTCCACTAGAACAAGCCAGGAACAAAAACTCCATCCAAATGGAAATGCTTGGAATAATTTCAGTGTTGGGGAAGAAAGAAAAAAAATGTCTCATGCTCTCCCTGATGAGAATTTAGGAGTAAGGATAGGAAATGGCATCCTTTAGAAATCACCACCTTTATGTGTCCCTTGGGACACCGAATACTTGCTAAAAAACAATGCACACCCCACCCTGAGCTCTCAAATGCCACAAATGTTAGCATATTTGCCCCAAGGGAAAATTTCTCAATTAAGGTAAAGAAAAACCACTGTGCCCAATTCTGATGTTGATAGCAGTGGACCTTATTGATAAAATTGATCACATTTGCATTATTATTTAGAAGATGAACCACTAATTTATGTTTTGCCACATAGGGCATGGCATTTTATAATTTGGTTGATGATATATAGTCACTGGTGGTAATCTATTATCCCTTTTCCTAAGACATTATATTCAAGATGTGTGATAAATTAAGTTCACTTATCCAGAAGTGACCTCAATGGTGTGGAATAGCACCAAGGAAAAAGCAAAGCAGCCATCTAAGTGAGTGTGAACAATGGAAATACAAGTCACAAACTGCATACTCCCCTTTGCTCTGAGCTCCTGGGAGAGGGCCTTAGGACAGCCCCCAGTATTTACATTTATTTTAGATGCAGTTTTAATAGCACATGGGCAGCAGGCAATTGCAAAGAGAGAAAAGGGATGTTGTCAGAGTTGTGCAACTGAAGGCAGCAGTGAAGGATAAAGGCAACTGATAAATTAAAATGGCAGGAAAGTAACTCATCAGTACTTTATCAGTATGGGGTCACTCTGTGTAGAGCAAAGTAAAAATAGTTAAGCAAAACATGAGATTTGGTGTTCACATTAATAATCCTCTGCTACCAGGAAATATGATATCTAAATGAGGAAGGCAAGTGATGTATTTTAGAAATAGTTCCAACAGTAAAGGATAAATAATTTTAAATCCAGTCATCTTAAAAATTCACTTATGTGTAACACTAAATTATGATTGTTCTGGGTAGATAACAAAGAAGCAGTGGAGCACCACAGTTAAAGGAGTGGATTCAGTTGACAGACTTCCTGGGTTCAAATCCAGCCGCGCAACCTACTCTCTGTCTAACTCATTTAGCCTCTCTGAATCTCAGTTCCTCCACTGTAAAATGGGTGCAGTAAGCTTTTAATGAGCTAATGTGTGTAAAGCATTAGAAGAGTACCTGGCATATACTGGGTGTTAGGTAAGCATTCTCTGGAAAGAAATTCACATTTGTCAAGTAATGGGTGCCAGGTTCCAGGTGGCGGCATAATCCATGAAGTCAAACATCAGAATCTAGCCTTAAATATTCCTCAAGCCTAAAGTAATTGGCAGTAAAGAATTATCTTGTCTGGGACAAGTCAGTATGGACTCTTATATCCTGGTTTCTGCTATAGTAACAAACATGTTTCTTAAAAATGTACATCCATTTCATATAACTACTATTCTCTCTCTCTGGAATGGCCTCATCTTAATTTTGCATATATGTTCATCATCTTTTCTGCAATGATTTCAGTTCAGTTACTACTTTAGAATTCAAGGATCCAATTATCTGAGACTGTGAGGAAAGGCATTATATTCATCATATGCACTACAACTGTTTGTGAGGTATAAAGAGCGTTGAGAAAGTTCTGGGTCCTTAATAGGGTAAAGAAAAAAATGTGTGGGCATTTCCAGGCAAAAGTGCAGGGAGTCTGTCATTTGAAACATCTACAAAAAATCAAATAGGTATAAAGTGCTGTAAGCAGAAAAGTGACATTTTTGAGTATCAAAAAAGTATTTTCAACATCTACAGAATGCCTGACACATACTCCTTATAACTGTCAAGGTAATGCCAACCAAGGGAATACTGAGAAAGTGGCAGAGATTGGAAGGGACAGAGGAAGCATGATGACTGAATGTCACATAGTGTCCTGGACTGGACTTGGGAACAGGTAAAGGTCATTCATAAGGAGACAGTGTAATTGGAATGAGGACTGGTACTTCATTACTAGTAATATACAAATGTTAACTTCTTAGTTTTGATCCTGTATTGTCATACCGTAAGATATTAGCGTGGAGGAAAGTGGGTGAAGAACATACTATCTTTTGCAACTTTTCTGCAAATCAAAAATTACCCAAAATAAAAGTTTACTTAAAAAATATTTTCAGATCTCTTGAGAGACTGGGCATTGGGAGCAGCTTGAGTCTTAATATCAGCAGGTAGGTTATTTGAATCTCGCTTCTACCACCATCCCACAGAGTGACCTGACGTAAGTTGGTTGGATATTTTGAGCTTCAGTGTACATATTCATCAAAGAGGGATAGAAAGTCCTGCCTTACATGGGATTATTGAAAAGAGCAAATGAAAATCCTCAAGCCCATATGAAAGGTAGCTACAAGCACAAACATTGCACAAAGCCTCTTTGTATTGTAGCTTCAGTCCAGCTTTAAAGCTTTTTGTGAAATGACATGTACATTTTCTCATTTTACTTGTAAAAAATGATCAATAAATGATCTGTGATGCCTTCAACAGAGAAAAATTAAGAGTCAGATATTGATCTCTTTAGAGAACTTACATTGTCACCATATTTTGCCCTTTAAAAATAGCACTGAGTCTGATGGATTTGACAAACCAGTGTTTTGTGGGAAATCTGTTGCATGATTCTGCTGTGAGTATCCCGGAACGTGTATAGAGACTTGGACAAGAAAGAACACAGCATAAATTTGTGGATTTGATGTGTTATTTTGTAGTCATTGTACTCAAACTGACAGCGAGTCAAAATCAGGTACAGCCGAAAGCATAGCTGTAGCAGCCTCACGGAAGCCGCCGGCAGAGAGCAGGCAGCGGGCGGGCTCTGGTGGACTGACCCCTTCGTTCTCAGAAAGGCAGGGCGGGCTTGTGGTTTAGAGTGCAGGATTTTGATCCACAGCCCCTGGACTTGAAGTTTTAGACTTTGGGCAGGTAATTTAACCTCCCTATGTCTCGTTTAGAGAGAATTAATAAGGACTGATCCTCTGTGTATTTAAAAGCTCCTCTGGAAACAGCGTGAAAGATCAGTTAGAGCAAAGCCAGACCCCAGCAAGAGTGGCAGCAGGAACAGTACAATAGCAGGGAAAGGTGGTGGTCTGAGCTGTACAAAAGGCTATGAGAGTTGCAATGAGGAGTCTGACCTGGGAAATGTGGGAGGGAGACTGTAGGGGAGCTGGAGATCGGGAGGAGGATGGGGGGATGAGGGAGAGAAAAAAATCTAGATGGACTCTTAGGTTTCTGGAAAGGGGGATTTGGCCCACAAATGATATAGGGAATCATGGAAAAGTGGGAAAAAGTAATGTTTATGGTTTGGGACATGCTGCAGGCTTACATTTTGGGACATGCATGAAGAAATGCCTGTCTGGTATAGGAGCTTGTATTTTATCTCATACACAACATGGGAATAAGATAAAGTACAGGAGAGTGCCTAAGACTGCTATTTCTACCACTCACTAGCTGTGTGACTGAAGTGGCAAAT